AGGCTTTGCTGTTTGGTAGCCTCGTTACCGATACCACAGATGCAAAAGCCATCTGCATAGTACATGAGCATTCGTACCGCTGTTAATTATTCTGCAAGACGGAAATCCGTTGCATAAAGCCAGTCCTGCATTTGTGATAAGTATGCCCGAACGTACTAGCCGTTGGCCATAGGACCATCACGGGAAGAAATGGAAGATTTGTAGTTAAAAATGGGCCCTGCTAAGTGTTGCGAGATTCTCAATATTTGGCACTCCGTGTGCGAGAACGGATGGGCGGATGGGCAGACTAGAGAGGCATGTGAGTGCAGACATGACAAGTGGGAAGTGAAGGAATATTGATGTATTGCAGAATTGTCTCAGTAGATTAAAGTTAACAAGAAAATATCAATGTCAAAAGCAGCACTCGTTTCGCATTATATCTGTGCACCGGCACATTCACCTGGGCTGAGGAGAAGCAACGCAAAGAGAGACTCGGGTTTGAACCACGTTGATCCACAATACCGCATAAGGTAGCCTTTCGACTGATCGCCCCCTAACACTACCGCTTTATTTCCCCTCTATCTTCTCACCGAGCTATGCAAAGTAAGAGCGTCTTAGAGAATGGCAAAGCCATCCTGATCTCTGCCTCCGCCATCGCAGCCAGACGTCACTAGCAGGGGTTGGGGATACCGCCTGACAAACAGTTAGTACAAACACCCACTGTATAAAGAGCATGTTCAAAACGTACTCTCACATCCACTATTAGTCCATCTCGCCGAGATCCAGCAGTTCCAGCCCGGAACATAATCCCACTTGGTGTTTCCATTTATATTCTTGCCAGTTGACCAGCACCTGACGCCGAACCGCTCGCCGAGGTTCACAGTCCGCACTCTTTTGCCATTCCAGCGGTCCTCATCGCAGCCTTGTGGACCGGTAACATCGGGGTGAAGATTGCAGTACTTGTCGCGGGCTTCGAGGGTGCTGGCGGCTTCGGCTAGGGGGTTTGGGGAGGAGATGGGAGAGGAGAGTGTTGCGAAGGGGAAGAGGACGAGGGCGATGTTGAGGAGCTTCATGATTGATTTGGAATTGAATAATAAATGTGTGAAGTATGAAGGGGATAAATGAAAGATTCGCCTTTTGTGGTTTCGACGACGGCTTTTATATTCGTCCTAGAGGCCCATATTCCCCGACCACTTTATAAAAATTGGTCTTGTGATGAATGTACACTCTATTAAGCCAAGGAGGAGCCGAAGGAAAACTCCTGGGAGACGCATCTTTGCCTTTCTGCCTTCCGATATTGCACCCCAACACCATCACCGCCTGAGGTCAAGCCGTGTTGGTTGGTTTCGCTTAAAATTAAACCCATTTGGTGGACACTTAGTTGCATCCTGTAACGGGGCTGCAGCATTCAAGCAACGGGAAGAGATCTAGAAGCTTGAAAACACGAAACACGATATACGATAGGGCTAGCATAGTCAAATGATAAGTGAAAAGTCGCATTACCTACCGAAAGCCGTGTGGTGTTCCACGTGCTATCAGCCTCGCCTGCGCTACACTTAATATATTCTTTATTACGGCTGCATCTTCAAATTACCTAATTCGTAAAGCCACGTGCTATCAATTGCTCTTCCTGAAAAAAATCAATACCGTCAAATGAAAGCCTCAGCTGCCAAGTAGGATCATATGACTTAAACCTGGAAATTGGAATTGGTTGAGCCGCTTGAAGCACCAACGGATTGGTCTTCCCCACATTTGGGGGCCGTTTTCCTGATTCTCGGGCGCTTAGAACGCTACAAGGAAGGGATGAATATAGTACCCCAATTCACCGGAAGGTCTGGACATTGGATGTTCTCCCTCTCTAGGTCTGTGATAGGACGCTAGTTATTTTCGGTCTTGGCTTAGAAACTGAACATGTGCTATCCAACTAATGATCGGATGAAAAACTTTTATTAGATTTTGCAACTTCGATCGGGCGAAGGTTTGAACCGGTACAGAAAGTAATGAATGCGTATCTCGTCCTTCACTTGATCCATAATTCTCGAGAGGAAGGAGGATTTGAAATATTCAGATAGTACCCTAGTAAGCCTACATTGGCCGGTTGAGCAGTGTTCCAGCTTTCCCGCGTATGATAGTGGTGCCATATCAATTTAGAGAAGAATCAGCATTAGACGATAAGGGGTGGGAAGAAGCCGCTGGGGGAACATAATTAGAGATTAAGGTGATACAAGGAAATGCAGGAGTGTTCAATGGAAGGAACGGGATGTGCAGTGAAAATAATTTGTGGTGGCGGGGTGGCCCTATCACTGCTTCACACTCGCCCTCTCTTCTTCCCGCCAGCTGAACTCTTTTTCTGGCCGCTTCTCTTGCCCTTATCTCTGCTTACACCGCGACGAGGTAAGTCATCATCCCCAGGGTACCGATGAAGGAATCCAAGAGGGCGAGGACGACGAAGATTGAAACGAAGTTGCTGATTTCGATATCAACGGTGTCGTAACGGCGCTGTAGCCACTAAAGCCAACGTGGGAGAAGACGCTGGTCGAGATGATTGTGCCATGGCAAAGGCAACGAATGATGCCTGGAATGTCCTCGGAAAATGTCACTGAAATCGAGACACTCACCTATATGGCCTTCAGCAGTGGCTTCTTCCGTTTATGTAGACGTTCAGCTTTCGGGTCATCTTTCGTCCTTCGCTCCTCAAGAGCTCTCCCGCGAAGGCTGTTCAGTTTGCTAATCATAGCACTCTATCTCCTGCTCCTATACACTGCACGAGTTGATTCGATAATATTGAAAGTTGAGAACATACCTCCAGTGATGCCGTCCAAATAAGCTTGTTTCGTTCGTTCCTTCCTCAGAAGATCTCGGTGCATTGACCGATCTTGAATCTTGGAACAGATGTGAGATCTTCTCGCTTAAAATTTCCTTCCCTGAACCGGTTAGCTGTAGAGATGTCCCCACACAGCCTTCGGAGAACGCGAAACGCCGTCGCAGGTGGGAGAGATAGAAGAGCAAGAATGATGATGGTGTTATGCGACAGCTGTGACAGAGTTGAATCAGAAAAATGATAACAAATTGACTAGACATTGGTGGCGAGGAGGTAAGCTGGCGCTCTCAGCTGCAAGGGGTTGCCCCTAAGATGGGTTAACTCGCTCACAGTCGTGGTATTACGAGAGTAGTAAGAAAAGACAGATAGCCTATTGTTGCCGTAAAGCGACCTCCTGCTGGTCGGATATACAATCAGCCGGCTTGGCACTTCTCAGCTGTATATAGCCTCTGCTCGCCCTCTAAATTCTGAGGTTCTTAATGCAATCTTGTTCAGTCTCTCAGCCGCTCATCAAGCTCAATTTACGGTAACACCTATTAATTTTCTAGGTAGATAGGACAGGGCCCCTTTAAGCAATAGAAAATTATTTTACATGTTCTCTTCAGTTTTTCCTCAAGGGTGAAATCTAGATGAGGTCAAGGTGGAGTCCTGCGAATCTTGAGACAATTCGTGATTGTTGAGCTCAGGTTTTAGGCATGATAAGAAGAATGCTTCAGCCACGAGTTTACCTATTGAACTGAAATTTAAGATCGAAGGGGCGTAGTATACTCAATACTCGTAATTGCTCGTATACAATACATGTTCATAGACTGGAGATGTTTGCATGGCGAATATGAAGATGTTGCTGATGTCGCGCTGCGGGGACTTGGTTGTGGGGCTACATCCGCTTCTGGCTTCAAGGTGAACAAGCAACATTGAGACCCCACACATCCACAACACCTTGACAATCAATTTTGGACACGTATATACGTTTTCTAATTTACAATAGGTTCCAAAATCTTGCTTCTTTAACTCATTTGGTAGAGTGCGGCACTACTAGCCTAGAGCCAAATTTAAATTTAAGTAGTAGCATCTTCTTGCTTAAATTTTACTTTTTTTAAGATTAATTAGATATATTGTAGTTTTAATCTAATTTTTAAATTAATAATTTTATATTATAATGTTTTACAACTCTATATCTGTAGTTTATAAACATAAATAATTGATCTACTAAAATATAATTAGAGTTGTTAATAGTCTAAAATGGCCAATTATAACGATCTGTTCTATTCGTCTAAGAATTACCTACTTGTAAGGGTATTTCTACTACCACCCTCTAATTGGCGATCTGGGCGCCCTCCGACCCTTTATCGGACAGCCGGTGCCAAGGCACCGGTCCGTATAGTCATGCGCATGGTCCTGTATATAGATACTCTCCGAATCCCCTGAGCACTCCTCAAGGATTCATCTCTCTCCAATCTATCCTTTACCCCCCCTTTCTGGCCCTTCGAGCTCCCTGCCTGTGAAGTCCCTCACACTATTTCCGTCCTAACCGCCTGTAGCTTATTGGCCTGGGCGCTGGACGGTTAGCCACGCTGGTTGCGCCGCAAGAGAATGAAGAATGCGATGGACGTTCTGCTACCTCCAACCGCATCGAAGTCCGTATGAAAGAAAATCGAAAGTTTGCGAGTGTACAGTTCGAACACAATCGTGACGTGATACAGGACGGGCATTGTATTATATTCCCTTGAGTTCGTTGATCGATTTTCCGTCAATTCTCCGATGCGAACATGTCTCCCACTAGCTATGTATCAAAAACTCTCAACGCCTGCATGCCTGTGCCTAATTTCTCAGACCGTGCTATTCCCTTCACTGGAATTACAACGGAATGGTAGCTGGCGGGAGTGCAAAATCCGAATTTATATCTGGACTCGGCATTCTTGCTGCATTTATTTCAAGTGCCTGGCGCCACAGATACTAGATGTTGTCTTCATTGCCGATAATGTGAGCCTCATTCCTCGCTAACCGTTGGCCAGTTGACGAACTCCGATGACTGAATGAGTACCCATACAAAGATCTTGGTTTTATCAAATCTTAATTCTACTATATGGGAGACCCAAGAAGCCACAAGACATGTCTGGCGAAAGTTGAACATTTTCTTGCGCCCTTTCAATGTAGTAAAAAGGAAAAAAATTTAAAAAAAAAAAAAAAAAATTAAATGTGCCCTCATTCAGAGTCGAACTGAAGACCTCGACATCACGTCGATATCACCTGATAAGGTGCGTACTAGTGTCGCGCTGCACATTTGTTAGGATGGCACAGACTTAAGTTGCTTTAAAACCTACCTCTACCAACTGAGCTATAAGGGCAAGCATTTTGGAATTTTAATGAATTGTAGAATTTATAACTAAAAATATTGAGAATATCGGAAAGAAGTGGGACTCAATCTTGGTGGACGTTCGTGGTGATATTGGGGAACACTTCATCCGATTCGTGCGGCCTTCCCCACCCGACGGTTCTATGCATCGCAAACGATAGCCATTAATATGTAATTATTTACAACTGAAACAGTTCGACTCTGTTCGGTAGCACATATTATCGCTTCTTTTTGGCCTTCTTTTTCACCTGGAATGCGTGTTGAAAGGCCGGGTGGTAGTGGAGAGGGCCAAAATTCAATTTCGCCTTTGTTCTTTCGCTTTTTTTTTTTTTTTTTTTTTTTTTTTTTTTTGGTTGAAGAGCATCGTAATGCTTGGCGATCCCCCTCTTCTCTGCGCCTCGAGTCGAAATGACGACCTCAGCATCAACAGATTTAGGTTACTAGTGCTGCGCTGCGAAGTCTGAGGTGCTGTGTGGAAAGCCATAGGCATTACGGCACGCTTTCGTCTTGCATGAAGCACCCGATCTACGTATCAGCTGCAGATCATTAGATCTTATTATCGCTACGGCATAGATGTGACCTTGTTCGGGGCCATAACGCGATGCTCTAGTGTCGATATACCGACAGACCAAAAGCTTCGTGAAGAGCGACACATGTGCTGGTGATTTTCATTTACAAGTTCCCATGTCTCCTCATTTCCGAATAACTGTGCCTCCCCCCGGCCGAAACTCTTGGTGGCCGTGATGGAGACTCCAAAGCTGAGGCAGAGGCCTAGAAAGACATTCGGAGCAAGTTAGACAGAGTCTGCGCACGATCTTTTGAATATGAGCCTCGAGATTGCGACTCGACGTTCTGTCATCCTTGTGCGAAAGTTGGTGCGAAAAAGCAACTACCCAAACATCCGATCCAACGAGCCGAAATTGAATTTTTGGCTTGCAACCCGTGCCTTGCTGACCGTGACAGCTGCGCGCAATTAAAGCATGCTATATTTTACGTCACTTGTAATAATGATGTAGGCTTCCACGATTCTTTCGCTACTTCGTGAATGCGGCTGAGCGGGAACTGGTCACCCTCTGGAATGTGAAATTTGGCTTGAGAAATGGTTGGAGATTTGTATCAGCCTCCTCGTACTCTCCCGGATCTTGAGATGAAGTCGTCTCTGGCACAAAAGCCATCGTTCATTATTTTCCGAGACCCTGGAGTGTGTCAGCCGTTTGATGAGCCTGATAGATTCGATAAGGGGGATAAGATAGTGAACACTCGGGGGAGGGTTGACCGTGCCGTGTTGGAGACTCACGAGCAACGCAAACAATAGAGGAGTTTCGGCGGTTGACAATTCCGTGTCCAAAAGCGTTTTCCGGTGGCCGAATCGAGAGGTGTCAGGGGTAGATTACCAAGGAGGATTAGCTCCTCGGGCGTACGCCTGTAACTAGTTAGTAAACTGTAAAACTTGAACTTTACTTGGCAAAACAGAAAACAAAATACGACAATTTTGTCCTGAATCTGAGGGGTGAGCCAGATTTTTACTTACTGCGTCGTGTCGCACAAAATCGAGCCATGAGCTTACGCTATACCCCAGGAGGCAGTCTCCTAAGTTTTGAACCGATCCACACTAGGTTGGAGGAGCCAGAGCGTTATGAAGATAGAGAGTTACCTATGGAGGTTGCCATCGCTTCTGAAAATGTCAATACAGCTCACCACCTCGAGCAGGTGGTCCAGCAGGCCGAGCAGGTGTTGGCAAAGCTCCCAGTGATTCCAGTTCGATATGTACAGCCTCTAGGGCAGGTACCAGCAGCTGCTGAGAAGCTAGTTGCTGCAACAGTTGAAGCCGACATGCATGTGGCAAGTACTCCGGCCATATGACAACTTTCTCAACGACTGAGCATGGATCCTGCCTCCAGTAGGGATAAAGACACTGCTGGCTATACTCACTCTCTCAGGAAGCGTATCAGGACTCCAGATAAAAGAGCTCTTATAGAATTGGCAGCTACCATATACCACACTAAGCTCCACTATCAGGGCAAAAGCAAGTTTATTAAGAAGCTAAGGAAGAAATAGATTAAGCAAGGCGGCCATCTATTTACTATAGATTTGATTACTAAATAAATGGATTAAAAGGTTGCCCAGCGCGACAAGGAGATTGCTAATAACAATACATCTAGCTTAGAGATTTAGTATGGAAGCTTCTTTAATTATCTTAATATCCTACGCGAGCGCTTTAAGCTGATAGCTCTAGTAAAAAATAAACGCAAAAAAAATTCTACTGCACAGCAGGATACAAAAAAGAGAGCCTAAGAGGCTTTAATAAGGGTGTATAATACTTAAAATACTTTATTAGAGATGCCGTTAGAGGACTTGAGCTCTAAGAGTAAAAAGAGCTCTAATACTAAAGATTATAATACATTATAGACTATAGATTCTAAAGCTTTAACCAGCTAATCTTCTAGGCTAAATATAATACTACTAAGTATAAAAAAAAAGCAGTAATAAGCTTGGCTTACTAGTTTTAAGCTTATAAGCAAATTAATTACTTTCTTAGATAAATTAATTAAGAATAGAGTGTTAGAATTTATAGAGATTATTCACAAGAATAGGAATCCAAACACCTTACCAAATTTATCAGATTTTAAAAAGTTTGTTGAAGATAGGTAAAGAGAGACTATAGAGTAGCTAAAAGTAATAGAAAAACTTACTAAAAAGTACCAGAAGACTATAAATAAGAAAATAGACTATATTTTAAGATTAATAGCTTAGTTAGCTATAAGAGAGGATAAAGTATAGTATTATAAGTTGCCTTAACTTAATAATACGTTTTACGTTAGTAATTCTACTCTAACTAATTACTTAATAAGTTCTTAGCCCTTTTCGTATCTGGAATAGATAGCCCTAGGTTTAATAGAATAGAGTTTAGTCTTATCACAAGATAGAAAGAAAGTGTATAATAGATTTAATAAGATAGTGTTAAACTATTTCACTCAAGGTCAAGTCTCAACTTAGAGAGAAAATCTCGATTTTAGAGTAACTATAAAGAATCCAAAATATCTTAGAGTTAGTTTATGTCTTATATTTATAGAAAATCCTTCATACGTACATTACATATCTTTGTACGGTATATTAGATACTACTAGAGAGTACTAGAGAGTACTAGAGCTTAAGTAAGCCCACTTAATTTCTATCTTTCTTACTTATTCTCTACTTACTAAGCTTTTGCTTGTTATGTATATAATTACTTCTAATCCACTAGTATAGTTCTATATTTCTATTTATATTTCTTAGCTTGTACTTTAGCCTACGCTAAAGTGTCTTATGCTTACTTATAATTCTTTCTTTCTAACTTAAACATACGTTTTTATTCTAGGGCTTTATTAGCTATTATTACTAATTTCCTTAGCTTTTTAGTTATAGCTATTTTATTATTACTGTCCGTAATATTACCCCTCTCTTTTAAGTCTTTATCCTGGAAGATAGTTTCTTCCTTTTATAAGTAATATAAAGGTAGTAAGTCTTCTACTTAATATTCTAAACTATAAGATCCTTAGCTTTCTTTTCTTTCTGCCTAGCTTCTTAATAATAATATATTCTTTATTATCTTTAATACATGCATGCTGTTTAGTTTCTTAGATTTATAATAAACCTTATTACATACTAACACCCTACTTAAACTGTTCCTATTAAGGTGATGACTGTCTTATAAACCTAAGTTCTAGTCATTACTCAATCTATACTAGTCATAATATAAAGTGTGATCTAGTTATATCTTAATCTAAATAAGATTATATTAATTGCGATAAGGAAAAACTTTGTTGTTAGCTTAATTCTTTTAAAGATTAGTGTTCTAAACTTTATGCTTATAAGTTACGACTTTATCATAAGTTAGTAAAAGTAGATTCTAAGGAGAAAAAAATGTTTAATTAAGAGATAGCCTTAATTTATAAAGTTTAGACTCTTAAAAAGAAAGAAGCTTGTTCCTATAGGTAAGAAGTTTATATACTGTAATCTATAGTATCTAGTACCACTTCACCTTTCTTTTCTAGTTTTAAGTAGAATGTTTTATATTCTCCTTATATTTTAGACCTAGCTCTAGAGTAAGTCTTTATTGTTTCTTCTAGTAATACTAGTTAATTAGCTCTAAACTATTCTTTAAGTTTCTAATTAGTTTCTAGGTATTGTTCTTAGGTCTGTATTTTTCTTATCTAACTAAGTACTTCTACTAATAACTAAACTATTAGTAGTCTAAAATCTACTAGACTTCATACTTAATACGATCTTCCTTAAGCTTAAGTTTTATCTAAAGTTTAGTATTATATAGTACTAGTTCTAATTTAGAGACATAGAAAACTAGGTAAATTCTTATATCTTTAGATAGCTATAGTTTATAATTTACAGATTCTATTTATTATTTAACTCTAAATAGTCCTAATTTAACGTGATCCAGTTTTCGTGATAGTTGTTTTATTTCTAAATTTTTCTTTTTTAAGAAAATTTTATCCCCCTCCTCGAAGGTTAGTCCCTTAACTTTAGACTTATTTTTAATTTATTTACTAAGATTGCCTTTATGGGTGATTTTCTGTGCAATTTCCTTATAAAATAGTTATAATTCTTTAACCTTTCTTCTTGCAGATTCTGATACTTTATTTAGTTTCTATAGTTCTTAATAAGCCGTGGGCTTATAACTATAGTTTATATAGAATAGTAATCTTCCTATTATTAATAACTTTACAGAGTTATATGTAAACTCGGCTATTAGTAGTAAGTTAATCTAATTATCTTATAATTCATTAACATATATTCGTAAGTATTATTCTAATGTTTGGTTTATCCATTCTGTTTATCTATTTATTTATAGGTGAAATACTATTAAGAGGCGATGCTCAGCCCCTAGCTATTCTATAAACATTTTTTAGAATATTAATATAAATAACTTGTCTCTGTCTGTGATAAATTCTTATAGCATTCTATATTATATAATTAGTATTTTAATCAGTAATAACG